AATTGGATCGACGAAATCAACTAATCATTGAATATTCACGCTTGACCGATAGAAGGACATCAATCTCTCTCAATTGGGCTCTTAAAATTGCACCATTAAATTCTCTCGAGGGCCTGGGCGAGCCGTACAAATACGAATAAGCAATCAATAGTTAACTATTTTAATTTAATGCTAATTAAAGCTTCTCAACAGTAACAAAATATTACTATGCCTCCCAGACTCTCGTTAAAGTATCTATAAATAAAATAAAAATATTCCAAAAATTGAGTAATCAACTTATCTAGAAAGTTACTGATCTCCATACTCATAGTTTTAATAATAACATTATTTATGAACAATATAATAACTCGTTAAAAGTTTCAACAATATTAATTAAAAATAATTGCAGTTTCATAATTTTTTTAATAAATTGACTTTTTCGAGAGTTGTCAAAAAAAAATTATGAAGCATATTTTTATAAAAGCATGTGTTTTTTAGAAAACTGCAAAATAAAATTAAAATGAAATAATTTATATTTAAATGATAAAACTTATTTTTATATCACTATGTAGGAGCTTTAATAACTACACAAACTTTTGAATTAAATAAGTGACTAATAAACCACATAATATGACAGCTAGTAGTCCGACTCAATAATATGGTAGTGGAATATATGAATGTACAGTCAGGTTATATATTCCGAAAGATTCAAAATATAAATGAATTAATTAATAATTTCCGGTACTCTATCAAATGGAAAAACTTTTAAATCATTTAAAAGTCAATCCTTAATTCTATAACCTGTCTATCCATTGATTTATACTACTGTGAAATTCTTCATTGATTCGGTCTATTAGAATAAAACTACGGAAATGAATTGAATTAAATAAATTTATTTTTTTTCTTTGTAAATTCTCTCTTTACTTTCTCTCTTTCTCTCTATGTTATCACTCTCTCGCTATTTATTACCTGCATCCACATATGCCAACAAACCCGCATAGCATCTCTTTTTCATTTCTCTATCTCTTTTCCTCCTCAAATCGTTTCCTTATTTATTCTATTAGCCACCAGCAGCGGGAATTACAAGGTACTGTTATAAAATACTCAACTTTAACCTTAACTTTGTATCTTTTTCATTAGATATTTATTTTTACATAAGCGACCACTAAAGAAATAACAGTTTAATTATCTTCTTCGGTCAGCAAATCGTTTTTACAAACAGAAAAATTAACCGACAGAGGATTAAGCAATAAGACACAAGAGATTTGTTATAAAATATGAAAAAAAAAGTACTTGAAACAAAATAAAATATATTTTCTTGATTTTTATTTTTGTCGTCACTTTTTTCTTCTCAAGTGTCTCTGTCTCTTTTAGTTCAGACAGAACACCCGCGTCTAACAGAGTCTACACATAGTATCCTTACTCTCACGACTTAAATTAAGAGGCGCTGCAATGTTAATGAATGTCCCTGCCAGCCACTAGAGCTGGGGAAACGCGTTGCCGGCAATTTATGGGGTATATTCGTTCTAGGAAAGCACCGTGATAAGAGCCTCACTGCCACTACACCTACAAGAAGGAGTGTATACTTTTATCTCCAGAAGTAAACTTGCTCCCTAGCAGCTTGATAACACCTCTACAAGCTGCTTCTATGAATAATTTTCCACGAAAATTAGGCAAGCCGATATTCTCGACATTCTTAAAGCTTTAAATCTTCTATTTCAATTTTTACTCCTTTTTCTTCGCACTTATAATGCTATTATTGATGAGACAAAATTGCTTTTAAATATAATCAGTAATTAACATCATATTTATACGCTAAGTCTTATCATCTATTTTCTGATTCTTAAAAAAAATAATTGACGTTACTTTTAATTTTAATGGAAATATATTTTTTATCTGATACTTATTCGTGTTCGTTTTAGAAATAATTCCTTTTTCGATAAATCACTCAAAAATTTATAGGATACAAGAATATGTCTATGAATGGATTTAGTTTATGAATTTACGAGGGTCATATATCGAGTAAAGATTCTCCTTATTTTTCAGTAAAAAAAACTAATCGCACTATCATGAAAATATTTTTCTGGCAACAGTTAAATATTTTTCTCTGAATAGAAAGAAATAAATTATCAGCTCGATTAGAAGTTAATTGGTGAAAAGAGTAAATTTTTTTATTGTTAAATGATATCCGATAAGTTTTTTAAGAGTGATAAGAAGAATATAGCAAAGTAAAGTTGCCATTCTCGTAACTTATTAATGACAAAGTATTTTCAAGAGTACAGAAGAGACTTGCCTCAAGCTCCATCATATTGGCAAAAAGCCAAGCTCGTCCATCTTCGTTGTTCTCCATGCGTTTTCAACAAATTCTTCCTGCCGATGGCAAGAATTAATGCCTGGTCCAAACTCTCCACCGTATTGATCTCGAAATATTTTTCCCGCGAGACTCGATTTTTCGTTTTTCCTGTCTTTCACGTGAATAAATATCGTCATTCGTTTTAGAAAAATATTCTGGGCGATAACTATTTTTTCTCCTTTGACATTTAAAGCAATTTCTTTAATTTTCAGTCTCCAGCATTTTTTATCAACGAATGAATTTTTTCATTTACAACAAAGCTCTTGTGTCTTATTTAAATGAGAAAAAATCTTAAATTTCCGTTCAGTCAAAAATAAAAAAAAACACCACAGTAACAAAGAAAACGCTATTTATATAAGAAGATATTAAATAAAGCCAGCAAACCAAAGAGAATTATCAAGATAATTTTATCTTCGTTCACTATACAATTTACAGTATTATTTTAATGCAGTATGTAAAGTCATAAATTCAAGAACTCTATCCTCTTTAAATTTACTGATAAACCTCCTGATTCCCTCGCGAATTATACTGAAAACATGTACTTCAACTACTTTGATATACAATGCACATGGAACGTTTAAATACTTTGGCAGTTGTGGCAGCCCACGAGACTAGAAACATTGCATCATATATACATATAGCGACTTAATGTCATCGTTTTAAACTTTCTATACAAGGAATTCCTTCTGGAATGCGCTCTTTAATTTACATAGATTTCTTACCATCACCACACTTTATTTAATCGAGTTAAAAACTTTAACTTATCTATTTAAATTTCACATCTCCACCATTTTTCAATTTCTGACTCCACACACAATCATTATGAATTAAAAATTAAAAAAAAAATCTCTTTCTTATGTTAATCATTTATCAATTATGTATTTAAAATTTTTAATATATTTTTCTTACCTTTTTTTTTATAGTTCACATTTTTCTCATTTCTCACGATTTGATGAGACTCCTATTCCTCTCATCGTAACCCGTTATCGCCGATTTTTATCACAGCATCACCCATGCCTTACTCATTTCCGGGGAATAGCCTCGAGAGTAGACATACTATTCGCTCACAAGAGAATAGATATAACCTCCGTCTTCATTTCAGATCCCTCTTGTGCCCTTCTCTCAATAGCCTGCACTTCATTGTTCTCTCGTTTTCCGATCTTTTCTGCGTCCCTTGAAGCAGCGGCGATTCTCTGCAAATGAACGGGAAATCGAAAAATAAAAAAAAAATATATATATATTTTTAGTATGAGAAAAAGTTCATCAGATTGATTTTAACAAAAACACAAAAAATCGTTGAAAATTAGTTTGTTACAAAAAAAGAAGAGTGAATTAAATTTAATTGTTATGATTTCAACGAGATTGAGAGTTACTTTCAGTTGATTTAAATTGAAAATTCAAAATTCTGTCTAAGAATACTGTGCTTCTAAGAAGAATGGAAATTATATTTCTAGCAAAGTTTAACTTCTTACTTTAACTCAACCCTCTGATTCTTATTCTCTATTGCTTCAACTCACAGCATTATTTTGCTCACAAACAAAATTTATTTTTTTTTTTATAATAAGAAAATATTGACAAATATCTTAATTAACTTCTGTAGTTTCTTCCAACGAAAATGAAGCTCTCAATGTGCCGCTATTATTGCAAAGATTAATTTTCACAAGTTTAAACACAATTATTAATATTTCAATAAAAATAAATTATCAATTTTTAATTAATTTCCGATTTTTCAAAAGTTTTTTCAAATTCCAATAAAAGCTTTGATGATATATTTTCAGTGTATATTGAGTTTTAACAACTTTAAAATTAGTGTCAATAGTAATCAAGACTCAACTTTAATGAATCCATCCCTCGTAATGAAGAAATAAAATTCAATTTCTCAATACTACCTGTGATGTGTCATTTCAACACCCACGATTTTACGAGTTAGTTATAAAATGCTGTATGATTCACAAAATCAAACTTGACATTCTCAATCAGTTAACCAGGCTTGCAAGTGGTTAATTTATTTCTCGTCAGCGTCACTAATTTACTTCATTCATGACGCCATTGTTCATTTTCTCATAACTATTGTTTCCTATTAATATCAGTTCTGTTTGTCTAAACAAGACCAATTACCCATCTAACCACTAAGCATCTATTTATCAGAATATTCTACCAACAATTTTGTCATCAACAACTTCATTCTTTCCCGATAAAATTTTATCTACTGAACTTTTTATTTTTTTATTTTATTTTAATAAATATCTTGACCACACACAGAAGGAAACCTCAGCAAATCTCTAGACACTTAACAATTCTACGAATGGAGAATCTAATTTTGCCAATTTCTTTTAGATGAAATAAGTATAGAATGCAATAAACAGCCAAAATTGCTGGCAAGAAGAATTATGAGTGTTATTAAATTTCAAGTAGCATCATCGTGTCTCCGTAAATCTCATATTTCACCGCCTCGTTCAACCTACAAGTGCCACTTGAAACTGGCTTTTCGACCTGATAAACCACTCCCAAACTGACAGACCATTGTACATTTATTAAATCAATAACTTTTAAAAAAAAAAATTAACTCACTGCATCCAGATAATAAACAACTCAAAAATTATTATAAATATAATAACCAAACGAAATATGCTACGAAAATCGTAGCGTGCTTTAATTATTACACCAGTCTACAAGAGCACCTTGCATCCAAATTGATAAGTATTCAAGTAGAAAAAGTATGTAAAAAATACTTTGTACTATGTGTCATTGTCAGTATTGTTAAAATCGCATGAATTATAGTTATTGAATGTTTTGCATTATTTATGTTGAATGTTTGTCACGAAAAATGTTGAACAATAATCAAAAAATGAATGATACATTTTAGTAAATGAATCAACTGTGTATGAAAATAAAAGAGCATTGCGCATTGAGTAAGTACGCTTTCTTTATCATCTAACTATAAAATCTCTTTTGGCTCGCGTACGTGTGCTTTTTCTCTACATATGAATATTTATTGTCTCACGTTAAAAATGTCAATTGATTCTTCTTTCAGCTACTTTTTAATTAATTTTTTTCAACTGTTTTCGTTAAACGATTTATATTTGTAAATGACCCGAGAGTGAATATTCTAAATGGATCTAGAGAGAGAGTGAATTTTAATGAATGGACGATGCAAAGATCAAAATTTGTTTTTGTTCCGTGCATCGAAGTAAAAAAATTTATTTACAGAAAAAAAGAATATTAAAAAAAAGTGTGAGTTCTCATGTAAATGGTAAAGAATTATTTTGTGATTATTTGAAAATTTTCAAGCTTTAATCACTCGATTTTTCAATAAACTAAATATTGTTGTGATTATTTATCATTTGTAATAATTATTGTTTTTAACAAGTTTCGATTAATATAAAAACCTTAATCGTAAATAATTCTTTATCAATAAATAAAGAAGTATAAACTATAATAATCTTATTAAATTCACACGCTAATCGCTTTTTTTATTTTTATGGGGAATTTTTTACAACAAAAAAAAAAAATTCCTCGGTAATCAGGAACATACTTCAACTGCATCATGTTCATGGTGGCGAGTAGCGTAGTCTTAACAGTCTTGGTGCTGAACTATCACCATCGAACTGCGGACAACCACGAGATGAGTCAATGGGTAATTGAACGATTGATCATTAACGATAACAAGCATCAAAAAACTTCTATTCACGTCATGTTCATTGTTAGCTTTCGTTTGTCTTTATGACAGGTTTTCTTGCTTTTAGATTAAATCGGTCCTGCTTCAATGGCTGCCATGGATGCTTCGCATGACAAGGCCTGGTAGGAAGATCACGAGAAAAAAAATCATAGAAAACAGCAAGATAAGAGAATTGGAGCGGAAAAATCAAGGCAGTCAAAGTCTTATTGCAAATGTTGTTGATCTCAACGATGATCTTCTACTTAGGTTTCCTGTATCAACTTACCCCCGGTAATTGTTTACTTTTATTCCTATATCTATTGTTCATATTAGAACTATTTAAGTAGCAAATAAAATATAAATTACTCTTCAACTATGCTACTACTACCTCATTACTACCATAGAACTATTCATTAGATAAATGATAATTAAATGGTCCTGATCTTATCGTCTCTTTTGAGCCTGAATTTACTTCCTTAAAATCCCAAATCAGGCGAGGCATCTTAAAAATTAAGTGGGCCATTTTAAAGACACAAATATAGGGCTGGATTTAAATTGCTACCTGGGTATTTCTATTCGTCTCGAAAAGACTAAGATAATATTCTATAAACAGTTTTTGTTTTATACATAATTGTTAAAGAAAAATACCCATTTTAATTTCGATCATTGTTATCAGTATTGACTCTTGAATTGTCAATATTCGTGATTGAAAAATATAAAAGTACCGAGGCGATGAAAAATAATGGGCTCATTTTTAACCACCTAATTGCAGTCCTTTAAATTATCGTCAAAAAAATAATAAGAGTAATTTTTGTAAAATATAGCTGTAGTTATTATCTGTAATAAAATCATTGAAAAATTTCATCAATTAATTACTCAGTAGTATGTAAAAAATAAAAATTATTTGACAAAATCAATCCAACAGTTTACAGTTATGTAAACAGTTATCTATTACATGACAATTGACGGTTACTATTAATACTCCGTACCACGAATATTTGTGGTAATAATATTCATAACAGGTAAACGTGGTGAAGACGCAAAATCGATCGATTATATCCGATCTCGAGGGAATTTCTTGTGGCAGAGTTTCTCGCAAGCTCTGCATCTCACAGGAATACGTAAGTGCACGCATTGATACGGCTAATTGGTTTTAGCACACCGGGTCATCACCCTTCTGGCAGGCCTCCTACCATTGAAGAGACCACAACCTTTATGCCTCTCAATGGTACTCAAGTTGAGCTTCAGAATATTCTGAGGGAGCTTCAGTTTATTACTCAACATATGAAAAAAACCGAAATGGAGGCAGAAATTATCAGCGATTGGAAATTTGCTGCCATGGTTGTTGACAGGTTTGTCTAAATTATTTATTTCATGTCAAAATAATGAATATGAAATGTAGCTGTCATTTAAATAACTCCAAATAAAATAACCTTCGAGAGTGATTTGTTGATAATAATATATTAAAATTATTCCATAGTAAATCTGCACAGTAGTTGAGTAAATAAAGATAAAGCATATTTTTGCATGAGATCATTTTTACAGGTTGTTTTATTCAATATGAGTTAAGCTTATCAACTTTAAATATGAATATCTATTTTATTAGTTAGATAAAAATATTTTTAATAAATGTCGTAATAAAAAAATATATTGTTTTTTTCAAGGCTTTGTCTGATTGTTTTCACACTATTCACCGTGATTGCAACGATAGCAGTTCTTTTCTCAGCGCCGCATATAATCGTCCAGTAGTAAACTGCCCAGGCCCAGCAGTCAAAAAACCTTTCCGAAGAAAGCTCCTCCTGATTCTAGGTATTGCTGCATTTTTTTTTTTTATATTTCTCATAAATATATTTTTCAAGACAGAATTTATATAATTGTAATAATTATTACAGTAATGAAAGAAAAAATCAGCTAGTGAAAAAGTAAACCAACAAAAACAAGTGATAATGGTCAATAAATAATCGGCCGTGTCAAAAAATAAGTTGGTACAAGTGTAAGCATTTATTTGGAATAAAGTACAATAAAACAACAAGACGAGGAAGGAATAAAAAAAAAAATAAGAGTAAGGAATGCCAAAGAAATAACTAGCTGAAATTCAACCATAAGAATCAGGGGAATTCTTCACAACCCAAACTATGTTCTCCAAGTACTTTCGATAACTTCTCTGAATTTCTTTTCTCGACATTATTCTCCGCGACGCGAGTATGCCAAAAAGTGATTTAAAAATATATACGTATGTATATATGTACACCAAAAGATCACAAATTCTCAAAGTACTGGAACCTCTATGTCTTCACATCATGACCATTGGATTTCTCAATCTCGCAAGAAGAAGAATTGCGCGGTAAGAAGAATTTCAATTGATTCGTCGATAAAAATAATTCAACCAACAAATTACTTGCGAGAAGATGCTCAAGTTCATTCTCTATCTCTTTTATCGTCGTGTTATACGCAAATCATAGAGATCAAGAGAAAATAAATCAAGACACTAAATAAAAACTGCCAGTCGATTCGCCTGCATCAAAAACGCTGGCGGTAGGAATAATATTAAATTTGCAAATACTCTTTTTATCTCAACACACTCATCGATATATCTTCGACAAGAAAACAAAACCAAAAACTGTATCATTACTATTATTATTATTAAATATGTAAGTATATGATTAATACATACATGATATAATAATAATTAATCGATTAACGTTAATGAACCGCCGACTTTGTTTATCGCGATTGTAAATATGAATTTGCAAAAGAGAAATAAATAGAGCGTAGCCTAGATTTTTGCACGCAAGAAAAGTTTATGTTGACGATAACAAGCATAGATATATAGAAAAAGTGTTCATTTTAAAATTATCATTGTGATTTCTTTCTAAATTACGTGCAACTATTGAAAAAAAAAGTAATTAATGATATCAATATACGAGAGGTATAGGGAAAATAAAATATCCTACTGTGAATTTAGTTAAAATTTTTTATTTATTGACTTTTTCACACTCATTAAATATTTATTTTTTTTGTCCTGGATAGTTGAATGTAGGTCAACAGGAGTTTTAGTGAATTTTCAATGAATCCTTTGACGGTTTATTGATGTAAAAAAAATTATCTGATTAATTAACTGAACTCAAATAAAATAATAAATTATTTTTAATTAGCACAGCAATATGATTGCATTGATTTTCATTTCATTGAATATGACATTGTGGGTTTTCAAAAAGAGCTTAAGCCACTTGTATCCGTCACTTGTATGTGATTGGATATGGTGCTTTCTATCATACAGAAAAATTAATACTTTTTTTTTTTTTTATTCTGATTTAAATCGAAAAAAATATTAGAATGTTTTCTTTAGCGTTTGCTTGCACTCTAGACAGTTGATGTCATCATTTTTATAGACAGTAAAGGAGAATTGAAATTTCAAAGACAAAAAACAGTACAATTAGAGTATGAATGATACGAGAAAGACATATAAATAATAACCTAATTGCATTTACGTCTCTATACTGAATAGTGAGACCGACAGTTGGGTTAAATGGATTTTCAAAATTGCATTCGAATTTGCGGACTTAGATTTCCGGTTTTTAGACGTGTGTCATGTACAAACTCGACAAAGCCATTAGCAAAATAATCAAAACAAAAAACCGAAAGCTTACAGTCAATCAATTAAACTTCCAAAAGTCTATTTAATTGAGTTTAAAAAAAAAAATTAAATTAAAAGTCAGTAGAATATAAATAAAAATTCGTGACAAGTTCATGAAAAAAAATCAAATAATGAATAAAAATTTCAAAAGTTGCACGTATGAGAATTAACGAGCGTCGTTAGAGAATGAGTCGAGAATATTCCGCTATTCGCTGTCTCCTGTCGATCCACTACCATGCGCTGGGCTTGAAGATAATTAAGCAAATAATTAAATAATAATAACTAATAATAATTATAATAAATAATTCGTGATACATTGCATCTCTCTTGCAAGTGTCAACGATCATTTGGCCAACTCTAATCAAGAGTCTAGGCATAATTAAATCGTTCGAGCAACGTTAGAATATTAAAAACCTCATTGACGATAAAGTGTTCCAATTAATTAAAAAGAATAATAATAAAATGAATGAATAAATGATTAGAATAATCGTATAAATATTGTATACTTAAACAGGGACGACAAAAGAAGATTGTCATGTTATGTCTTCATTGTGTCCAATAAAAAATGTGATTGTATATCATTCATATATTAGACTCAGTTTTATATGAGTCCTCAACGTAAGCAGGATTCGATGTCTCGCTATGAATTGATTTCGTTTCGCTTTTTAACTTCACTTTTATTTAAATATTTAATTTCATTCAATATTTTATAAGTTAAAACAATTACTAATGGCCTGTTATGAACAGCAAATTTATTTCTTTAGGCGAGTTTATGTTTATAAATTTACGATGGTGAAGTGATGTGTTATTTAAAGTTCGTATTAGAGGGCAATAATGTTAAATTAATCGGCAAAATGGAAGAGCATAAAATGAAAAGTAGCTAAAATACGACTGTAAAAAATAATAAAAATAAAATGAGCCCTCGGGGAAATTTGTAGACTTCTCTAAGACGTTAGTTGACTTTAGTTCTTGTGCGTCTATTGTCGGAAATATCTCATACTATTGACTTCACTTCTTTCTTTATTTCATTTCTTTTTGAATCTAGAAATTGGCTTTTTCTTTCATTAGTTTTCAGAGACAATCAATTTTAATTTTTCTCAAGAGAATAACTTTTATGTTCAATAATCAAATAAACATACTGCTATGATAATATTAATCATAAAAATAATCATAAGAATATTATTAAAAAAAAATCTGTAACTTTTTGGTTCATCCATTTTTATCACCTCAATTTAAACCGGGAAATAAGTGAAGTAGAAAATACGATCGGCCAAAAACTATTTATTATTCACAATCATATGTGGGGAAATTTTATAAAAAAAAATCACTCGAAAATTTAATACCTCATGCTTTTTAATAATAAATTATTTAATGAATAAATTTATTGGTTTACAATCAGTTTAATATAGTTTAGAATTTTTATTTTAAAATATACACTTAAGTACTTGAAAGCTTTATTACAGCCAACAACTGCAGTTGAATATATAGACTTTATATCGTTCTTTTGAAATTTAAACTCTTCATCCACAACTTCCGTTGATAAAAGCACTAGAAAAACGTGCTGCTATATCTACTAGTAATTTCGCATTCTTTGAGCAACTTCTTCCTTGGTTTCCACGGATTCTCGTTATCAAGAAATTAATCGTGAAGCGTTCAAGTCACTCCATTATACGAGACTTCGATATTGTTCGTGATGTGAATATACTAAAACCGTAGTTACCGCTTTCTAATAGAATCGACGAGTGCAAAGAATCGCCATTGTCGAATATTAAGTCTGAAAGAAGACGTACTGATTTCGGAAGCAATTTACTGAGGTTTTGGCAGCTTTAATTGTCGACTATTAACAACGTCAATGACTAAAACGTGAGAAAATTTCCAACATAAACCACTGGAAATGTGATTTTAAAGGATTCACTCGTCATAATGGCTATCTTCTGTCATGGAAAACATAAAAAGCTTATGAGTTAACATCATAAACGGTGATAAATGAAGTTGAGGGCAAAGTTAGAAATATTAATAAAGTGGTAGGGTTTCAGGGGAAAAATACAAAAATTATCATTAAATAAACATATTTCAAACTTTTTAAATACTTTTTCTATCTGATTTTTTCCTTGCGGTTTTGTATTTATTTGATTCTCTTGCGATAAATTGTAGCATTGCAGTAAAGTGGTTTTCATTGAGTAGAATAGAAATGTAAAGTCACTAGAGTTGATTTAAATAAATTTTTAAAAAATTCAAAATATAATATGAATTGTTAGAAAAAAAAAATATTTTTCTTAAAAGCGATACGATAACAATCATAGCGAGAATAAAGTTCATTTTAATAATATAAATATTATGATAATTGAATAATAAATATAATAGAAATAATGATAATGATAAAAAACAAATAATTAGTACGAAATTATACACATATGAACATAATAAGCATATAGAAAATACGTTCGTAATCGGTTTTACGAGAAGAAAAATGTAATATATGTGTGGAAAAGATTATAAATACGCGAATAACAATAAGCTAATGAATAAACAGATAAATAATATGGTATTATAAATAATATAATGTAAAGACAATGAGAGTTGAATAATTGATTAGAATGGATAAAACTGTTAATGAATTGTAATATTAAATAAATTAATGTTAAATTAAAATAATTTAATTAACGAAAAAAATTTAATAAAACACAATGGAATTGATTTAGGATTACATGGGCAATGAAGTATACAATGTCCAAAATGTTTAACTTTATCATAATCTTATGAATGAATTATGACATATAATAAACAAGTTATAAAGCGATAATTCTACAAACCAAAACAATATCTGATAAATAAATATTATTTATTCGCCATTCACTTGTATAGATTTTTTTCCAGAAGGTGAATAAAACTAAATTTATTTATAAATTTAAGAAATAAAACTGTCAAATAAATATGGAGCCCGAGTTCATCGATTATGTCCAGGGCTATTACACTTAGGTTAAAATAAATATTCTCATTGGAACATTAATTCATAGAAATAACGGCGAAAAATACTATATTTAATCTTGTTCATATAAAAAAATAATTGCTGACTTTGCACCTGTTTAGATATTTCAATTACAAAACAAATAAAAAAAACATTCAATGTCCAAATATGTAATGAATTATTTTACAATTTTTAGATAATTTAATTATTTTGTTTAAATGGAAAATCTAGTATTTATTAACTTGTTTTGCAAAAAAAAATTAAAGTCACATAGAATATTAGTTAATAATTTTTTCTCGTGGATGAGCAACGATTTATCAAATTTATTAGCCGAAACAATAACCAAAAATGTTAATAACTAGACAAATTAACATATAAAGACCAATTAGAGTGCGCGTATATATGTTAATTTACGTGAGAAAAAAATAAAACAATTCATTGATTAATAAATAGTGATAAAAAAAACACAGGAATTTCGATGAATTAAAATTAGTGAATCCTTTGCAAATATAATGTATCGATTGATCTAAAAGAAATTACTATCTACCATTTCCTTATAGATGATTGTTAATAAAATTTAGCAAAGATATTAAATTAAAAGAGAAGATAAATAATAAGTATATACGTTATAATAAAATAATTCAAATAAGAAGCCGCGTGATATGCTCAAATTGTAGTTGAAAATCGTTATTTCTTTTTGAATTTATGTTACCACTCGTTTTTCCTCTCTTTTCTCGTGTATCACGTATCGAATGTATCAGTAATATACCGTAGATACAAACGACTTTGTGAATACGTGAGGAAGAATATTAAAGTAAAAATATAATAATAATAATGTAAAAAAGAGTTGCGAGACTTGTTTCAATATGTATGAGTGCGTGTGAATGTATGCGTGTTAAAAATGTTTGCCTGTGGGATGGAATAAATAAAAGAAACATATAAAGAGCGACAGGGAAAAGAATGTAAGAGAGAGAAAGAGAAAGAGAGAGACGAAGAGAGCAATAGAAAAAAATAAATGTTGAGAATAAGTTTATTTAAAAATGACTAAATAGAAGGAAGGGTAAGAGAAATAATATACCTAGTAGAAGAATAAGATAAAAGACTATTCGGTTTTGAAATCTATAAAGGAAGTTGAATCCAATAAGCCTTGAATTTTAAATCTAAAAATATGTACATATATTCTTATTGTTTAATTTGTTTTTTAGATTTTTCTAAATGAAATGATAAATAATTTGATAGTAAATAAAATAAATAATTTAACAGAATGATCGATGAAGAAAATGTATATTTTTCTTTTAAAAGCATTTCCACTAATTGCTGATAACAATGATATAATAGCAATTCATAATTGAGATGCATAGCTATTATTATATATAAAGAGATTTATTATAATTTATAAAAAAATTTTATGACATATGATACAGTGATAATGAAAAGTTATAAATGATCATCTGTTGAAAAATATTCCGGAATATTGATCACACTTATAACTTACTTCTGCAGTACGTAGGAAATATGTCATAAAATAATAATGGAATATTCAAGAGTATGAATAATTAGAAAAATGGACGTCAAGTTGAAGTTGCTCTCATTCGTCTTTCAGTATAGATTAAAATGGAATAAAATGAATTATAGTAGTAGAAAGTTATTAACTAAAATAAAGAATCATTAAATGGATTATTATTAACTGGAAATTCACAATAATATAAAAGGGAATCAGAATTGAGCTCAGATAAATGAATATACAATAAAAATGAGAAAAATTAAATGAATCCATTTCGTTATGATAAAAACGTTAATGACTTATAAAAATATTTAATAATCTGCATTGTATATAAAATTGATACGCATCTATAATTAGTTGAATGTATAAATGAGCAATGAGTATTATCTAATTGTGTATAAAATTACAATGTTGAGTTTTATCTATTTAAATGAGTTGAATTGAATATTAATCAATGTTTAGATTTGACATTTCTCGTAGAAAATAAATATAGATTTAGAATAAACAAATGTTATCAGAAAAAAAAAAATTGTTGAGTAAATTTGATGTGTATGCGTCCAAAACAGGAAATTAAACTGCAGGACGGCAAGTTTCCGGGCGGGGACATTGATCGATTTTATATACAACGCAGAGTTTGTATACACTATTTATCATTTTACATCAACATTAAAACCATTTCAAGTTTATACATATTTTATTCGACGAATTTTAGCAAGTTCTTTGTTATAAAATGAAAAAATTTTTAAACATTCTATTCTATTGTGTCTTCTACTACTTTTATTCATATAAATATATACAGTGATGAGACGACTATAAATTCGTTGTATTAAAACGGCGAATGTAGATGGTGTAAAAAAAAAAAGAAGATAATAATAAAAAAAAATAAAACAATGCGAAAAAATGTGTCGCTTGCGGTGTAGAATAATTTGTTATTTTTTCTAACAAAAAATAATGTTCTTTTATAATTGTTGATATGAAAAATAATTTTTATGTGTATTCTATTTAGTTTATTACAAATATAAAATTAAAATAAAATAATTATTGAAAAAAAAGGACACATAAAATGGAATAATGTAAAAAAAATATATTAAAAAAAAAAAAATAATAATAATTCTTTTTATTAGAATTGTATAATTAATTACTACACTTGAAATTGTAATTATTCAAAAGCTTATAAAGTAATAAGTATGTCCGAAGAATGTTGCAAAATTGTTTGATAAGCAACACATTCGAACAGTCAATTGTAAAGTATTGAAAATAGAAATTGTATTTATTATGAATTGATAATTAATTATTGATTATTATATAATTAAGAAAAACTTAATGAAAGAATAAACCAGTCAAGATAAAAGATAATCACTTTTGTATTTTTACGGAAAATTAAATGAAAAGAAACATGACCATACCTAATAAATATTAATCTTTAAGATTTAAAAAAGATAAATCATTGAAATAATGTTACTGCATAATTTTTCATACGAATTAGAGTGAGTTTAATGATAAATATTTCATTAATTAATAATGATGATATTAAAATAAATGTATAAAATAAAAATTTAAAAAAATGAATTATTAAAATGATGTAATAATTAAAAATAAATGAATGATCTGCATGTTGTAATTTAAAGTTTAGAGAAACGTTGTATGTGTGTGAATTGCTTCTCACAGCATATATTTGTATATGCCTGTATGTTATAAGTGCAGAAAACGAATTGCAGCAGTGAAAATAAATTTTAAATGAAAAACGTATAAATAAATATATGAATATACATTACAAAGAATGTTATAAAATATTCTAACGCACGAGTGGTTTAATAATAATATAATGAATTTTTTGTCTCTCTGAGTGACGTCTGATTATTGTAAAAAGATAATAATTCATTTCAAGTAAAGAGAGAAATTTTCAAGATCTAAATTGAACATATTAATTACTAAAGTCATCATTTCAAATACAAAGCTCATATTTAATAAAAAAAAAAAAAACCATCGTGCATACAATTTTTTTCTGTTAACTCTAATTGTGTTTGTGTACATAGAAGAAGCACCAACGTGTTATATATATACATATGCATTAATTAATGTTACATAATTATTGAATAATGTTTTATAGAAATAATGTAAGAAATAGAGATAAAGAAATGACAATTAATTTGTTTTTTTATTAATTAAAATCGATCACTGCTGCTACACGATAAATATATTAAATAAACAAGGAATAAATAACAAGAAAATTTTTAATTTTAGTTGATATAAATAAATAATAAAAAAAAAAAAAAAATACAAACGAAATAATGAATGAAGTGTGTACGAACAAACGCCTCGAGTCTTTCGTTGTTAATGCAAATGTAGATAGTGCTTCCACTCAACATATTTTTTATTAATATTTTTCACAATTGACACCTGCGTTCGTACAATTTTTTATAAAATGAAAATAATAATAATAAATAAATAAATAAATAAATATCTGAGAGTGCAGGAGCGGTGATTGTACGGTGTTCTTCGTACGCACATTGCTTCCAAAAAAATTCTCTATCTCTCTTTCTCTACCTCAATTTTTGAGGAACTTGGATGCTTTTGGCATAGCTGAATATTAATTAAATAATCACCTATTGTAGTGTACATTCCGATCTTATAAAGGCACCATCTATTATAGAGAAAAATAGTTTAGAATACCGATAGTTTGATGAGCTTTACTCCGAAAATTTATTGCAGTATTTTATCCATCATTTCTTTGTACTGCAATTATGATTGGCATATCAATGAACAACTTTTTCATCATACTCAATAATCATTTTATCATCACTATTATAAGATAACATTTATCGAAATCATTATCTAATAAATATCATTTATTAATTATAAAATTAATTTAAATATCAAAGAGTAAAAGCTCATGAACTATCGGGCTTTAATCGTTGTAGAATCTATGGCAAAAAAAATCATTCAACTTTCTCTGTATCTACTTTTTCTCTAAACTTTAGAATATTATCTCTTCTCTCTTACTTCGAATATTAGCACACAAATAACCAGAACAAATGAAAAAAACAAAAAAACTCACCATTTCTATATTAAATGAAAATCCTTTTCAAAGAAAGGAGCACAAAGTACCATTGTAAAATACAAGTTGAAAAAGAGAGAATTGAATTAAATCTAGTAACTATATTTCTCCATACTTTAATCATTCCACTAAGAATGCCAAAATAAATATAATTACGAAGATGTCACATACTATTTATAGGGCCTAAGTACCGTCTAAAATACTTGAATCATAAATTTTTTTAAAACAAACAAAAAATCAATGAATTTGTGTTAACTTCAAACAAATACACAATCATGCTTGCTGCAATCAATAACTAACTAACAAAAGAGTTTGTAAATTTTTTTTGTAAAATACTTTTTAAGGAATTCTGTTTTCATCTTAATTAACTATATATTCTCTCAATATAAACAATTGATAATGTATTTTTCACAATATTAGTAACAAATTAATTACTGTGGACATTATTTTTTTAAATAACTCGGGTGCGACTATGAAAATAAATATAAAAATTTTAATATTAATTTTAATTATTGATGTAAATGATAAATAATTATGATAATTAAGTTTTTAGTGTGAAAATAAATAATAAA